AGGTACACAATGGGTTGATGTAGAACAGTGTTAAGTATATTTATATAATAGGTACACAATGGGTTGATGTAGAACAGGGTTAAGTATATTTATATAATAGGTACACAATGGGTTGATGTAGAACAGGGTTAAGTTGTGTACCTATTATATAAATATACGGGTTGATGTAGAACAGGGTTAAGTATATTTATATAATAGGTACACAACGGGTTGATGTAGAAGTTGGGTAAGGTATATTTTTGTAAGAGATACTCAACGGATTGATGTAGAAGTTGGGTAAGGTATATTTATGTAAGAGATACACAATGGGTTGATATAGAACAGGGTTAGGTATATTTATAAAATAGGTACACAGTGGGTTGATATAGAAGGTGGGTTAGGTATATTTATATAATAGGGACACAATGTGTTGATATAGAAGGTGGGTTAGGTATATTTATATAATAGGTAAACAGTGGGTTGATATAGAAGGTGGGTTTGGTATATTTATATAATAGATACACAGTGGGTTGATACAGAAGGTTGGTTAGGTATATTTATATAATAGGTACACAGTTGGTTGATATAGGATGTGGGTTAGGTAAATATATATAATAGATACACAATGGGTTAGGTGTATTTATATAATAGGTACACGGTGTGTTGATATAGAAGGTGGGTTAGGTATATTTATATAATAGGTACACATTCCGGTTGATACAGATAGTTGGTTAGATATATTTATATAATAGGTACACAGATGGTTGATATAGGATGTGGGTTAGGTAAATATATATACACAGCGTGGTCACAAGTAAATTGACACCACTTTTTCAGAAAAAATGAAATTTTTCAGTCATATTCACATGAATTGATATATTTATAATTTAATTAATATCTAGTAGATCTTCCTTTTGCTTCGTGGAGTTCGTTGATCCTTTGGGACATCGTGAGAATCATCTCGTCAATTTTAGATTGTGGGATTTTCGCCCACTCTTGCTTCAAAACTTGGTATAGATCGCTCTTCGATATTGGTTTTTTTGTTGTTTCTTTACTTGCTG